AATCCAAGGCTCTTCCGGATGTCACTATTTCGGACCATGTCGAGACGCGTAAGGCCAGCGACTCGTCTAATTTTTAACATATTGCTCAACTACCTCCATACAACAGCACTGAACAAAACTGAATATAAAAAACTGAAAACGATGGAAATAAAGATTTTAAGATCAATAATAGGAGTGTCGTTGTGCTATATACTGTCAAACGATGAAGTAAGAGAGAGATTCGAATATCCAACGAAAATGATGTAAATTCAAATGGCTGCAAATTAGATGTTCAAGATGCTGCGGCCATCGTCAAACATTATACGATAGCTGCCTTGCGCAGCGAGCAGCAAACACAGAGTTTGATAATGGGCGACCGACATAAGGACCTCCAACAAAATGGGAAGGTCTCGTTAGAATAGACATGTTGTCAAAAGATTGGAAAGCGAGTACGCACATAATCGGTCAAGATGGAATCCTTGTACGGCATCATCCGGAGATGACTTCGATGCAAGGGGTGAGAAGAATTTACATGCGTTGAAAGTTCTTCAGGGCCTTAATGTTCATTGAAGTTCGTTTACCCTCATTTTCGATTTATATTGATTAAAGATACCCAAGGAAAGTGAGGCAATGTCTCTGAAAAGCAGAACAAGTTGCTTCTTGCAGCCATTATGGTGCGGTGAAGGCGAAGTAATTCTCATGATTTGGTGTGAATTTTGTGCATAGGAAATTCATATTCAAGAAAAAATGCGCTTACCTTTCGACTACTCTTCGTTCCGCACTCGTTGTATTTGATGACAATCTTTGCGCCACCGTTACGGCTTTTTTCGTCTGACTCGTAGGCGTTAAAAATCTTCGAGAAATTGCGGAAACAATTTGGTACTCCAAGGAAACCTTTGACGTAGATTATGCCGTCAAATGCAGACCGCTCCGGTAACGATACCTCCACTCTGTCGCCCTTACATTCAGTGTGCAACGCCTTCCGGTAGGCGGACGGTTCTTCGTCTGAAAAGGAATTAAATGCAAAGACTCACAATGAGAATCTTCAATCAGAGACAAGTGAGTTACAATTCCTCCAAATGACTCCTGTCCATGTCGAACACATCACGAGATAGGAAGGACTTGTCTTGCTTAAATGCTGAACGAGTTTCAGACCGTATCAAAACAAAAGATGCCTAGGCTCATCTATTACTGATATTCCGTTGTGATTGATAACAACGCAGGGGTGTTTCTGTCTACATCTAAAGTATCAACTTCTTTTGTTCCAAAATTCTCTCTGCTCAGATGAACATTCCGGGAAAGATCTATATTTGAAAGACGATTATTTGGTCATCATTTGGAATCTCCATAATAATATTATAACGTCGTATCTACAGTCTGCTACAATCTCTGATTTTGTCTACTTGTTTGATTTACTTTGTTGTGCTATTTTGCTCGTCAGCTTTAAATTTTTTCTTTAGTTTTCTCACCAATTAACGAGAACACTGCCACTTCATTCATGAATGATTTCTCATTATAGATACATACTATCAGGTAGATAATATTAAGAAAAATTTGATTATGCTGTCGTCATGGGCAGAGAGTGACTGAGGCTACCAGCCTATGTCGAATTGCGATTTTCTTATGCAGATTTGCTTTGAAAATAATGACAGGTGAAATAGGAGATACCGGTCAGCGGCCAGTTACCGCTGCTTCGTTAGCCTTGGTCATTTTGGTCTGAAGAAAAGTCGGACTGAAAACATTTACAGATGCCCCGCTGTTGCCGCGCGTTGATATTCCAGTAACTTCCTTATAAACAGTGACTACGCTGGAAAGAAAAGGTCGTAATTCTCGAATCTGATTGGTCGACGGGTTCGAGCAGGAAGGAACCGCCTGCGCGTAGCATATATATGGTTGGTCCATTGGTCACGGCCGACAAGATCAATTTGCGCATAAATCTGGTCGATAAACATGCACTTGACCAGGAAAGAACCGCCCACTCCTGAAAATTCATTGGTCCCTTGGCGGTGTCGAATACGTCGAACAGTAGTTAGCCTCTGTATGGTAAAGACGTTGACGATGACATGTGCATCTGCATGTACCTACTGAAATAATGCCTTTCTTAACAAAGCCGTAGTCGAATATCTCCATAACCTGATATGTGTAATGATAGACAATACGTTAGTGAATCAAACTAACGAAATGATCTTGAACTGTGGATTTCTAAGAGCGACGAAACTCATTGAGAAACCTGCTGCAAAAATTTGTATTGTAATTGTACGAAGACGATGGCGATTCATGGAGTAGGATTCTTGAGCCTGTTCATTGTGACCTGATGACCGTCAGTGTCAAAGCTGCTCAAAATTTGCCCCAAATGACCTTATTCTACTACCTTTTGGGCCCCTGATCCCTACCTACCCTGTCAGACGATTTTATATACCTGAAAAAAAACAGCAAAATTTGGAAATTTATTATAGCAGTAAGTGTTTCTAACCACTTGACTGTAACTACCATCCTTTCCGTAAAATGGATAAGTAGTCCAACAGGCAAACTATCGTTTTTGTTACGCCAGCCGTAAACGGAGCATAACGACTGTCATAGTTGAAAGTGAATGGAAATTTAAAATTTCAGTGCGTGGCGAAGCAATTAACGACGTGATTGCAAAGAAGAGGCAACTTGAGACTGAAACGATGTACGTTAAATTGAACTGGTACCAATGCAAAGATGGGAGCATTTCACGGGCGACTTCACCGTAGTCGGTTGGAGCAAACTTATGGTAGGCTATTTTCGGTATTTGCCCCGTCTACTGTGGAAACAAGCATGGAGCTTGGAGGACACGGTAAAAGCTGGTGTGCTTTCTGAAATAAATAACTGTTCCTACGTTGCGATGAGCTATAGATAAGTGCAAAAGTGTTCAAAAATTAATAATACACCAGACTTCTGCCTAGCAAACGGGTCAAAATGATATTTTCTACTGCAACTACAATAACTATGCTTGCTGGAGGTTAAGGAGGCTATTAATTAACGGGGACTCAACGGTGAACCTGATTGCAACTTTTTTTGTGTTTCAAAGCCTCATTACGAAGGAGTACTTTCCACTGACAAAGCTGGAATGAGTCAATTCTCAGTGTAACACCAGGCAGTCAGTGGCTTGCTTAAGTAGATTGTTCATTTCTGAGAGAAATTCACTTTAATGCCTATTGCACATTCACCGAAAGTGACAAGTGCTGAAAAGGTGCTCTTAGAAATTGGAGAGTATCAAATTAGGTATTCCAGGTATAAGTAAAAATACGGAATAAACGATAAATGCAATTCCGGGGAGAGCTAAATGGACAGCCAGATGCTTCACAAGATTTCAAGCGAAACAATGCAGATCTTTTAACCATCTCATTAGTCATGTAAATAGATCATTTCTAAAGTTCAGTTTGAAACATTAAAAAATACGTCATTTAAATCTTTTTACTTATAATGAATCCAGTGCTCAAGACGCGAGCTCTGTTCTTTAAAACGTATTAACATCGTTGCTTGAAAGGGAATTTACCATGAGGGCGAAACTCAAACTGCTTTGAATTTTGTTCAACAATTAAGGATGGTTGGCGATCACGCAAGGAGCAATGAAACAAGGAAAAGAAAGGGAAACTTTCCATTGGTTGAGAAGTCGATCTGCTTTACATGTTGCTTATTGCGCAGAGTGTAGCTCTTCTAGAATTTTCGAAATTCTGTGGAGGTTCTTGCTGCAAGATCTACACCATAAGAGTAATTTTTTGAAATTTAACAAGTCAGTTCGCATTGTTCTTAAAACAGGCTTTAACGGCTTGCCTTACGTTTCACTGCACTTGAATTCACCGTCCAAATTAATCTGGGTCAGAGTGCCTTATGATGCTCTTCTTCATTCCGGTTAAACCCAATTTCTAGCTGTCACAAAATTCTCGTAGTTTTTTGTGTTTGATTTTCGGTTCCACCTTGTGACACTCCCACTTAACGACATTTCAGCTTTGGCGAAAAGCAAATCATGGCTAAGTTCTTAATGAATTCTCTCAACCGTAATGCGTACATTCGCCCACGTGTGAAGCGTCCAATCACGACTGTCAATAATAAATCAGTTCCTCACGTGACGGTCATATCTATGATCGGTTTGCAAATCCATTCGTCAATTTAAATGAACGACCATCCACTCAATTACAGCTTTTAGCAAATCATCGGAAGACCAACGCCCTGTATTCTCGACTCATGCATTTGTTCCCTTAGATGTCCGTTATGAGTAACAGATTGACGTCCCTTCCACCTTTATCCCTAGGGAATAGCTGAAAAGTAATTTTCCACTCCAAAAATAAAAATTTTGCCGCACTTTTTAATGACGACCCGCTTAAATTTTCATTTACAATGATATCATCCTGTGCTGACAGAAAACGGCGCTTCTTGAGAAATCAAGAAATCAAGGAAAATTCAAGGATATTTAATGACGTAATTACCCTTGTTTTTGGCTTTACCTACATACTTCCACAGCCGGTGCAAACTTTCTTTTCTAGCTGTGGCACCTTATTCATTTGCTTCATAACTTCTTTACGTAGCTCACTTTATTTGCTCACTTCCACAATTCCACGTTTCAACTTACTTCATATCTTTTATTCATACTTAATATGCCTCTCTATGTTTTCTGAACAGTGCGCATTCACTCTGAACTTTTTATTCATAAACATATTTGCATCACTCAGCCATTTCTTAACTATTTCGACAATTCATTCAGATTCAGTCTTTTTCTTCAATAAAAATGATATGGATTCAACGTTATGTACATAGCCAAACGTCAGACGCTAACTACAAGACCTTAGCACAGGTTTTCAGGTTGTGCCAATAACCTTTGAATTTGCCTATTATCTTAATTATTCATTCAGTCATTTGCTTATTATTTAGTTAATGGTTAATTTAATGTAAAACATTGAAGAACAAAAAATTCTTTATGATGATTTTCTTTTTCTGTTACTATTTCATTCGTATTCCACGTGTATTTGAGCGTGCATATATGCTCGCCTTAAACTCGATGCCAATTTGACAACGACCCAGATTTACGACCGGAGCCATCAATCACCTCAGGACAAATATGCTAGCATTGCGGTGGTATGAAATGAAACATTTCTATTCCTTTCGGTACTGCTCCTCAGGGCACCAGCGAACACGAGAGTTTACTTTGACAATTGCGCTAATAAATTATGGCCTCTAGCAATGACAAAATCACAGTTCTTTGGATATCCCTAGGGACTTTGTCACATCTAGAACGGGAGAAATGAAACTGCTATTCCTCCTGCCGAACCATAGCACGTATCTGCTTCCATGCTCGACGGCTTACATCAGAAATTAGAGAGAACAGGAAGATAACTCAACGGATTAAGCAGCAAAATACAACTATAATTAGATCATATTTAATGACGGATTGCATTTTCTCTTTGCCTGTAGATGCCTGGAAGGGGCCATTTAAGCAGGTCACGACTCAACTGCGTTTGAGCACCTGCAATACTAGATGCTTTTTGCATCATTTTGTTCGCAATACCAATCTCATGCTCATAAGGAGCGATGTTTCAGCAACTGGTACTCTTTTACGTTAGAGCATAAAGTTGAATCGTTGATGTGGAGTATGTCAAATGTGGAGTATGCCAAATACCGATAACTCCATCATTACCAGATGGCGCTGCAGACACTGGAATACAATGGATTGCTAGCTTGCTTAAATGGCCCAATGGGCAACTAAGAAATTTAGTAAAATTCAACGAAGTAGGAGTTTTGAGCCGTTTAACCCTATTGAAATCTGTCCTTACTGGCCTGGAATGAAAAATAGAAAATCCAGAGAAATAATGCCATCCAGATCGACGGATATTGCCAGCGTCATTTTTGAACT